ATGCAAATAGTGCTATTATCACACCAATCATCATGCACAGCTCTCAGAAGATTAATTTGATTGAGCGTCTTTGAGTAAAATAAGAGTATCAGCACAGTAATTGAGAAATTTCTGGAAGCAAAATGACCAGTGAGTGCCCACAAAGCCAGCATCACTACAGCCAGAGAAGCTAAATGTGTATGGACAATACTACAAAATTAAGCTGAAAATTCACGTACAAAATTAAGCTGAAAAGTCAGTACCACTGGAATAAACACTCCCACCAATTCAAGTCTTCCAACAAAGCCATAACTTTGTACCAACAGGCCAGTTCTGCTAAAGTGGGTTCAAAGAAGTGACAAGACCCCTATGAGTTATCCTGACCGCTCAGCTGGGGACAACCAGTATCAGCACTGGTGAGGGGCTGTGGCGGTGTGCTCCCCCCTCGCCTCCCACTCCCCCTCCCTTCACCTCTTCCAAGCGATAACCACCCGTGGCGGTGGTGATGGATGTGCCTGGTCCTGAAGGATGCGCCCACTGGGTGTGGGGGAGACAGATAACAGTACCATAGCCAAGGGCTACTGTGGAATGTGCCCACCCAAGCACAGTGGTCAGGATGCAAATATGACTGTGAGCCAATTATCTTAACCCCATCCCCAGCGAGCAGCCCCAGAGCCCTTGGAGCTCTCCCACACAGCAGCGGCTGCACGCCAGGATCTCCCCGGGAGCAGGGACCCCTCTCAGGGTCGCCCCTCGAGGTTCAGAGGTTCCTGACCCCAACAGATTCTTGGCAAGTGACTAAGAGCATGCTAACTCTGAAACCTTGGCTGAGGGATAGAAAGGATGGATTGCGCATTTACAATCTTTGAGACATGAGCTGTTGACCAAGTCTGGGACTAGGATTGGATCCAGCCACACCTTGGCTCCTCTCTGAGGGAGTTTAGAAAGCCAGGAGATCTTTTCTGAACCTCATGACTCAACAGGAGGGTCTCCCTGACAGTTTTGTCTGACCCTGTCCTCTGTGCAGTAAATAACCAAGGGTATCTGGCCATCGAATCTCATAAACCATCATTGCATTTACCACTGAACTTTGTTAACTCACTGTTTTACACCAATAAATCACATTATTTTTGCCTCCCTCTCACTCCATCTGCGACACAGGCAAAGACGTCCTTCCTTCCCTGTCTGTTCTTCACATCACCTGAACTTCCCCCACCTTTCCGAAGCACATAGATATTGTGAGATTATCCACCCTCCCTGGAAGCAACTACGGACACCGCAGGGCTCCACCTCACAGCTGCCCCGGCACATCCCTGCCCAGCCACTGCGGCACCAGGGGAGCAGAGGACAATGCCTGGTGAAGGGCCCAGGGGAAACTGAAACGCCAGACACCTCTTCTGCCCACCCCAAACGCCTGCCACAGATCCGATCGGGCTGTCAACTGGTGGCCTCTGCTGAAGCCTGTCATCCCAGGTGTGAGCTGCAGGCGGAGGACCTGCTATCCCACCACAGCCACACCGGCATCCCATCGGATAGAGGGGAAATGGACATCTTGTCTTCCCATCAGTCAGCCTCACTGTGAGCCCCACAATGGGAGACGTAACGCCAGCTGCTCAAGGTAAAATAGAGCATAAAGAAATAAGCAAACTGACTGACTGTTAACTGGCAATTTTTAAGGACAAGTGAGGTCAGGAACTTGGAGAAATTAAGTGCTCTGCCCTAAGCTGCAGCTGGAGAAGGAACTGGCTTACCCCAGGAGTTACTTCCCTTCTCCTAACACATCCATGTTGGATGTGGTAGCTCCAGGTTTGCCTCATTCATCACTGCTGCCTAGGAAGTTCATAGAATCACAGAATCGTTTGGGTTGGCAAACTCCCATCCAAGGGGAGCGGCATATGCCCAAACGCAGTAGAGCAAGGAGAAGAATTGACGTTTCTTCCACAAGCAGACAGCTTGCTAGAAATCCCATGGATGTTCCCAGGTAATTAGAGCTGTCTCAGACGTACGTGGGCTCCCAGAGGAGCTGCTTTCTTTGCACCATTACTGACGCACGTCATTTGACCTAGCTATATGTGCATCTCGTGCTTTCTCCACCTGGGTTAATCCCTTCAAGGAAGACTGTTAAAACAGAACGGGAATTACTTCCCAACTCAAAGCAATTTGGTCAAGGCTGCTGAAATCTGCTGCAGCATCCTCCTCCCTCATCGCATTCCCTACCCCGTCCCCTTCATCCAGTTTTATTTCAGAAGGAAACTGAGCAAAAAATTATTTATAAGAAAAACCTATGATCATAAGGGAGAAAGGTTTACTCTTAGTTCTGGAGATAGCATTAGAAAGAAGAATACCACTCTCCATTCATTACTAAATAAACAGTACGCAAATATTTCCAGAGCAAATTTTGTTTTCAGATTATTCATCTTACTTCTGAAAAAAGTTACCAACAGGATAGCTTATTCCATGGGAACGTGGAGCTGATTTCTGGCCTCAGTCCTGAGTTACCAGAATTTCCCACAACTGTTTACAAAATGGTCACCTCTAACTGAAAGGTGATTTTAAAAATATACTGAATACATAAAGGGCCTTGGTAAACCGATGAGAGTAGCACTTTAAAATCTATTTTGAGTCTAAAATAAAACCCGAGAAGAAGTTAATTAAAGGGAGTTTATCATGACCCCTCCTCCTTCTTCAGCAGCTTATTTTTCATTTTAGGAGGTCACTCAACACTTCTTCCCCTTCTCCTCGGCACTGGTGAGGCACCTCTGCAGTGCCGAGGCTCCCCGGTATGACAGCGATGCCGACGCGCCGCAGCAACTCCAGCGGCGTGTCCCAGGGATGACGAAGGGATCGGAGCATCTCTTGTAAGAGGAGAGGATGAAAGAGCCGGGACTGCTCCGCCTGGAGAAGAGGAGTTTCCTGTCCAAGAGGGAGGCTCTACCCGTCCCTATAACACCAGCCAGGTTCTTGGTGGTGCCCCGTGACAGAAGAGGCATATCGGATACTTAATTTTAAAAATGAGGAGAAACCATTTTTCCTGCGTGAGGGTGGTCAAACAGTGGAGTGGGTTGCCCAGAGAGCATCCCTGAAGAGCATCAAAATCTGCTCTGACATGGTCTCAGGCATCCTGGTTGAGATGGCCCTGCTCCGAGCAAGAGGTTCAACTGGGCTATCTCCAGGGGTCCCTGCAAACTTCGGCCATTCTGTGATTCCCTATTGCTTCTAAAGATCATAATAAATAAAGATATGCTGACCACGGCTGCCTTTCCTCAAAGCGCCGTTGTGCCTTCCGCTGCTGGTTGGGCTGGCACGGCCGCGCTGCGGTTGGCATTCAAAGCAACCATCTCCACCCCCTACGAGCAGCGTGCGTCCAAGGTACCAACACGTGCACAGACCCTCAACACTTCAGAGCAAGCCCATATATATCCCTTGCATTTGTGCTGCAGTGCTCACATACATTGCAACCTAAACCTTTCCCCTGCACATTCCCATTGTCTTCCATAAGGAAATCCATTATTTCCAAAGGTACAGCAAGCCATGTTGTGTACGCCTATATAAACACAAAGTTGCTTCCTGCATGCACTTGAGAGTGGATTTACCTGCACTCTCAAAAATCCCAAGAGTATAATCCTTTCCAAAGATGAAAACCAACCTGCTTCTTTTAGCAGAATAAATGAAAATCATCATGAAACCCGTTAGAGCTGAGTTTCATCTGTGCAGAATCATTCAGTTCCCGGGACAAGCAACAAGAATGAGCTCTCCTGTGCCATTTTGGTTTTAAGAGGATTAGTGGAAGTTACATGGGCTGTCTGACGACATTTTTGCAAGTACACACGCACTTGTGCCCATGAACATTTGATGCACACACAAAGTAAATGGGGAAATAAAAGCCGTCTGTAAGGGGAGGAAAATACACTGAAAATGTAAAAATAATGTATTTTTTCTGACCAAAATAAACCTTAAGTTCCTAAAACTATCAAATTGTGAAGCATTAAGCTCATGTCTGCATTCCCTTTTCCATTTCTTGCACAGACCGAGTCTCAGGCAGATGCAGCACTATCCTGATTTCTGACAAGCAGCATTTCTGTCGCCTCTAGAGAAACTTGCAGTATCACGCACAGAAATCCTCTCACTTGCCTGAAGAGTGCAGAATTACACTGCAAGTCATGTCACACGAAGGATAACTCAGTTGGGAGCTAGAGACAGGTGTCACATCCGTATCAAAGATGATCGGTGAACAATTAGCTGTCTCCATTTCAAAATGAGATAAATACCCGAAGCTAGCATATATGCAGCATTCCCTTGGAAAAAAATAATCATCCTCAATCATTATATTTAAAAATACACTGTCCACATTTTCACAGCAAAAAACCACACTAAAATAGTCTTAATTTTCCGTATTATCAATAACAATCAGTTATATACAGAAATATACACACACTTACATAACCTGGGTTATTCAGAAGTGGTTTCATATTTAAATTATATGGCAAAGTTATATTTTTGATTCCATGAAATATGACTATCGGAGCGTGGCACTTGAATAATTCTGAACCAATTTTAAAGCAAATTCAGTGACAGTGTTGCTACCAGTAGAACAACACTAAACTGCTTGGAAGAGGAACTTCCTTAGTGCTTCCTCCACTCACAAAGACCAGCGTTACCGGGATGACACCGGTCTGTTAAATACAAATGGCAAAGGCACCTTAAAAATAAAGATTCCGATTTTACAACCCAAGCTATGTTCGCCTGACCATGCGCTGCCCAGATATTTAGGTATGTCCAATTGCCATGAAGGAATGGCAGTGTGTCACAGCCACAAAACCCATAAAAATCCACAAACTACTCAGCAGAAGACAGGTATCTGACAGCAATTTAAAGGAAGAATGACGGTCTTCAAACTACCAAACCCCTAAGTAATTAAGTAAATGGGTTCTTCTGTTCACACGGGGAAGGCAGCAAAAGGATGACAACTGAGAGATTCAGAGAACCGCCTGTGTTCCAAGCTGCTGCAGGCATTAGCCTACCTGCGCGCGAGCGATGCCGCTTCCTCCGTGTGAGTTTGCATGCTCCCAGCTGAAGGAACGCTTCTCCTCGTTCTGCATCACCCCCTACCAGGGCACGCAGTTTCCAGCAAAAGCAAACACTCAATTATTTTCGAATCAGCGTTTTGAATTACCTACATGCTGAAGCAGGATGCATCTAACGCTGTATCAGAGCATGCCCGACCTCACACAAAAACTAAATTCCTACCTTACCAGCTCCAAATTGAGAAGTTCCTCCAGCTTTCACCTATCCAAAATAGCATTACAGGGGTGAATTAAAGATCTTTCGCTTCTCAAAGATACTTGCAAATCTGAATTAAGCCTTCCGAGCTGACAGCTGCTCGGCAGCACTGTTCACCTCCAGCCGGTAGCAACAGCTCTGTGCAAACACCACTTGACGGCTGCTGTGAACTGCAGCTACTCAGAACGAAAGTCAGATAAGTCTTGATATGTGAATGTGTTTCCACACACATTCAGAGGAAATGAGTCAACTATCTCCACATCTTTAAACATCGAAAGCTGCTTCCTCCCCCCTCCTGCACTGCAGATGATGGTGTAAACTGAAGGGTTCTGAGGTTTATTTATTAAATAATGGCGTGAAAGAGATACTAAAGCTCCGCTGGCAAACACTGAATTACAGATCGTCTCTACACTGACTTCTTTTCAAATACCTTGAGCGGAGAAATACTGAACTTAATTTTTTTTTTTTTTTTAATAAACGCATCTATAAATATTCCTTGAAAATAAAAGAGAACACGTACTTTCTATCCTAGTATATTAATTCTGAAGATATTTTGAGATTTAAAAGCAGCATTCAGGCACCACCCGAAATTAATCTCATAAAATTTCAGAAAAGTTCCTTCTTGGCCATTATAGAAATATCAGAAGCTGAAAAAAGAAGGAATTGAGATAAGAAGGAAGCAACAAAAATGTAGATTTTATCCAACTGAATTTCAATATTCATTCAGTTACAACCGAGTAAGTATTCCAAAACTGGATACGCATTGTTATTTGTTTGGCATTAGAGCCTGCCCAGTCTTCCATAACTTTAGCATGACACTTTATTTATGTATTTAGCCTCTACCCACTGAAGAAAATCTTTTAATTTAGCTTGAATCTTGAATACAGAAAGAGAAATGGCTCTCCTTAAAACCGCCATAGGTCTTTTTACATTTCGTAGTCATTTCTGTTCCTTCAACATCCCTCTGTATCAGGCTGCTTCCGATCTATGGGTCCGCATTGCTCTGGGGTTTGTTTTCTCTGCTGTAAACATGATGTTCCACAGCCACGAGCACCATTTGGAAACATGGGTTCTCTCTTCCTAGACCTCTCCATCCCACAGGGATGCCCCTGGATGCCTGGGACCCCCTCTCGGGTTGGTGCAGTACACCCTGGAATCCACCCAAGTCTGGATTTGTATCCAGTGGTGTGATTTCAAAATACCAGTTTCAAACCTGATGGATAATCAGAAAGCACACAGCAGCCTGCAGCCAAACGGGCGAACCACTTCTTTCAGGAAGTCATTGAAATAAGTGATTTTAAACACTGAAATAATTGATTTAATGTGTACCATTAATGGCTGTAATGAAACACCATCAAGAATGCCAGATTCTTCCCTCAACAGCACCTTGCTACCAGGCAGAAGAGTTTGGTGGAATTGGTCATCCAGTACCACATAGCGGCCAACTTGCACCCTAGGCCTGGTCAGGATGCTCCACCTTGTTCTTAATTTCAGGTTATTTTATCCCTTCAAATTGGCAAGCACACCAGGACAAAAAAAAAAAAAAGAATCGCTCCTAAAGAAAGAAGAGCACGTAGCAGCATCACTCGGCGAAGGAAGGAGGCTGTGACCACAGGTTGTGGTAGACCTGAATGAGACGCGATACACCGAAATCACAGAAATCGTAGGAAATGAGTACAGAAGAAACCTCCAGAAGTCATCACTCCCATGGCACGCAGGAAGATCACACACAGAGGACACACATGTGACCACATACACGACACTACCAAGATCTCCATGCCAACAGGTGAAGACAATGCTTTGGCACACTTCTCACTACCGGCACCCAGAAGTAAGTTAGGAGAACAGATCAATGGAGTAAAGCATCTCCTCCTTCTACTACAAGATGCGTCTTCCCTAAACCAGCAAAGGTTTATTTTTAAAAACGATAGGGACTGACGGTTTTGTTATTAAGATAAGGATCTGTGCAGCTTTTGTGGCTACAGATAGGTGCACCTGCCCTTGCCCACATCATTTAGTCCCTCTGTGCCTCATTTTCGACACCTGGAAGCAGCATAATAATTCTCCCTTACTTTGCAGATGAATGGCAGAGCACTCAGATATTGCTGTGAGAGGGTCCACAAAAGGAACAGCAACATTTGTCGTCTGCTGGACTGCAGCTCTGGACAGCAATTAATTCATTTTTAAGTAGCACATACGTTGCTGTTCTCATTTAACAGCAATTTCCAGAGAACCTCACCTATTTTCCACAGAGGAAAAGCAAGCGATGGAGGACAAAACACTGGAGAAAGAAGAAATTGTAAGGCGTTAGTTTTTTAAAACAATGCCATCTATCACTGCTGTCTGCCTCCAAACCCCATCTGCTCCAAACTCATAAATACTAAAAGACACATTCTTATATATGGTCAAAATCCATCTGGGAAGAACTGTTTGTGGAAGTGGCTTGAAAGACGGTGAAACAGACCCCACTTTTCTTGATCATAAGAGAAAGCACTTTGCTACTCAAGACCACCACAACATGATGAAAGAGGGATGCTGCCAATGGGGACCCACCCCAACGAGCCCCTTAGACTTCTGGATAAAACAGGGAGATGGAGATCACTAAATTTCCCACCAGGTGCGCTCTTAGGAAGGTATTCCCTTCTGGACCGATGCCTCCTGAACCCTCTGTCATCCAGCCAGTCCCAATAGCCATGGAATCATAGAATTGTTTAGGTTGGAAAAGATCCTTAAGACCATCAAGTCCAACCTTCAACCCATACCCCGGGGTCCTCGCGTGGAGGGCTTCCCCCAAACCCACCAATGACTTCTCTTACGTGCCAGCAGAGGGGGGAAGGAAATGAGTATGGGCTGCGAAATGCCGCCCAGAGCGCTCAAATGGATGCTCAGATGAAAGGGTCTGATGCTGAGCACGCCTCACTGCAGCATACACACAACAGCACGCATCTCCCACGACGGTGGGAGAAAGTCTTTTTTTGGTCTCCTTTTTTTCATTTCAGAGTGTGCCTCTCTCCTTAGTTTCTAAAGGCACATGATGATGTGTTGGTACACGAACAAATGCCTCGCAAATGACAACAGATGAGAAACCAGTTATTTGGGAGGCAGAAGAGGTCTCATAGCTCTCTGCTGTGAGAAAATAAACAGCAGAGAATGGACCTGCGACACGGAGTGAAGTGTGTTTAAAATGTGTATTTTCTGATGGAGCTCATGTGCCAATAAATACACACAACAAAAACGCTTTCTACAGCACCCATGGGGAAGTTCCAGCTAGACGATTTGGCGCTTGAAACGACCATCTGAAATGGTTCTTTACTCAAACTGAGAAGCAATAAACTGTAATTAACTACAGCCCAATCTACTCATCGGGTCATCATTGTACATTGACCCAAAAGCATGGAACAACTTATTTCAGCTGTTTCACTTAGGCAACAGGGGTGTTATTTTTCTTCCGAAAAACTTTACAGCTCCATGAGCAGCACCCAGTTTCCCAGAGTTCACTGCACCGTTCAAAATGAAAATACTATCTACAAGAGTTTTTCGAAGTTACTTTCTGATTCAGCATTCTAAATTAATACAGAATTAATGAGATAGCTCCTGTTGGTATTGGTACGGTAAGGGGAAAATAATTTTCTGTTCATGAAAAGACATCAATTTTAACGGTGTATTGACGTGGGGTTAGAAGGACACAAGCATACTGCATTCAGTATTAAACTGATGCGTACTGTATTTCTTTAGCTCAAGAACATTGTTTAACGTGGTAGTGTCTTTTCCCTGGTTCCACAGAACGCGGATGCACTCGCGTCGCCCTGCGTGCAGCAGAACGATTTTTCAGGCTGTGCAGCCCCAGGGAGAACGCCGCCGGGCCAGCTCTCCTCCCTTCGCTCACTCCGCGGGGCCTTAATTTCATAACTGAGAGGCAGAATGGCAACCACAACCTCTAGCAACAACAGCTAACCACAAATTATGGTACCAAACCTACGACGCAGCTACTGTGAGTAATTACTGATGCCAATATCCCTATACCTTGACTAACGCCTCTGTTTTTCCCTGCCTAGTGACAGCATACTTCATCTGAATTTCTTATTAATTACATCTGCCCACAGAAATTATTTCTGCAGATGGAATCGAATACACTTTCCTAAGATATTGAGTTTCCTACCAAAATGTGAAAAGAATACCAAAAAATGATTTTACTGAGTGTACCGACCTTTGTGGGCCTCCAGCCTTAGCCCCACAGAACGCCAAGGAGCCAGTTGCTGCCAGCAGGAAAAAAAAAATGAAACCAGCTACTCCTTGTACAAGTGGAAACCTTGGAAATGATTACCCTGGTCCTGCCCGCTGTGAGCAGGTGTCTCCAGAAGGCAGCCATGAGAATGCATCTTCCAGGGCGAGAAGACTGCGCTTCTCACGCCTGCCTGCCTGCCCTACAAAAGAGAGGTGGTGAGGATGAAGAGGACCTCAGTACAAATCAGGACAGAATTCTGAAACGCAAAGAACCAGAGCTGTCCTTCCAAGAAGCCCAAAACAAATCTTAGATACAGGGAGCAGCAAGTCTGGAAGAGATGTGAGAGATCATCCGTGGATTTCCCAGGGAAGATACAACTCACCAAATAGTCTGCTAGAACTGAGTTGTACCGGTGGCCATCCCATTGCTTACACCTCACGCTACTGACCAACAGACAGTAAAAATGCAACCTGGTCTGGTTGGAGATGTCCCCGCTCACTGCAGGGATGTCGGGCTAGATGGCCTCTAAAGGTCCCTTCCCACCCAAAGCGTTCTGTGATTTTATGCTTCTACGCTTCTCACAATACCCTGTTC